TATTATTATTATTATTATTATTATTATTATTATCTAATCTGAACTTTTAGAGTAAGCCCAGACTGCTGGCACGCGAAAAGAATTTTGGATACATGATGATCATGTGAACATTATCATATTTCGCGACTACAAGTTTAAGATATATAACAGAGGCGGGAGTCACCTGCAAATGGTAAACGAACGGTGAACATATTAGTTTTTAACAAAAATCTAAATTCCAATGCAATTTTTGTCACCTTGCTTAAGCGCAACACAATTTACTTCTTCAGACAAGTACTGTAGACAATTTTTGAAGAGATTCGCGGGCTCAATCCAGACCACCGGTCTTTAATAAAGCTCTTTTCGTAACAGCCATGTTGCTGTTCCCAAAAGCTTGGATATGGAAACACTAATATCGTCCAATTGACGTTACGTCAAAACGCTCGATAATGCGATCTCCATTAATTGCCTTAGCTAACAGTTCGACCAGTAACGTTTTCTCACTGTTCCACGGGACTGTCTGTAAAGACGTATAATAATCACACGGGAGCTTGTCTGTCTGGCCAGTAGAAAAGTTGCGCGCGCTTCATTATAATTTGTATCTGTTACTGAATGACTGTAGTCACGGATCATGAATCATCAGTGAAAATGTTCGTAGTGGACTGAGCTAAATTGACGGTTCAATCGACCATAGAACTTAATCGCACTGATGGCGAATTAGTTTATTTGCCACTAACCAGGTATTGTTTTATTATCGAATCAGATTTTCTACAAGTAACAATGCTAATACAGACAACAACGAGCGTAATTACTAAACAATTTCACCGTGTCAATAATATTTGTTGTTTCGAATTTGTCAATGCATTACGTGATGTTTTGTAAACACCACTGACAGATTTGGGAATAAGTTATTTCAATAACATAGTACTATTCGTCATACATGCATTTCAACATTTTTAAATTTGTAATGAAAATGTTGGAATAATTAGGTATCATAAAAGATTCAGGACATTTCTACTGGGCACCCTTTCAGAGCAAGGCAAAATGATAATTTTATTTTCTCTTGTTAATAATAGTTATACAGAAGATTTCGAAAATTTGTAAAGATGGTGCGGACTGTTTGAATTCATTCTGAAGAAAGCCTACATCATGAATTTATGTACTACAAAAACTGAAACAATATAAAACAAAAACATGATAGAAAAATAGAATTTC